TAAAATCCCCAAACACTCCTTTCTTTCTCCATGAGGACCTCCAGTTGCAGGTCGTTTGCCCTAACTTCTTGTCAAACTGCACTGTATCAAGCATAGTTAGACATGTCAAGACGTTTTTTCAGTTGTGCGTCACTAACGTTATTTTCAATTTTGTGATACTTCAATCACGTAGCCTTTTGCTACCGACTGTTCATTTTGGATGGTTTGTCCCGACATAGTCTTACTAAGCAAAAAAAACAACTGCGTCTTATTCCTGTGTTTCCGGTTTTTTATGTTCGCTCGATCATTCTCATTATGCATTTTATTTTGTGCCCCAAAATTTGGCCTAAGTTCTCTAAAAAGTAACCCCAGCTACTATTATGTTTTCGTAACTTCCTCTTTTCGGTCACCTAATTCAAAGTTCAATCATTTAGAACGAAAAAAAATTACGCCCTAGTTTTTCACAGGAACACCATCACGCACGACTGCGACCGTCGTCGACTAAAAAAGGTTAACGTTTTACGTAGTCCGGTACAGCCCTTAAAGAAAGCTGTCCCGCTCTGTAAACATTCATTTTCTGGTATTCAAGTCATTTTTGTTCGAAATTAATTCCAATTACGTCCTATCAGAGAGTCATTGTCAAATTCAGTAATGAGCATATCGGCCGGGGTACAAACTTGAAACCCTGAACCGTGCTGCATCGATAAACCATTGCATTGTAGAAGCAATTTTGTCTTATTAATAGACAATGCCCGTACGTAGTTGAATAAAAGGTCGTGCACTTCTATTTCAGTAAATTTTGCTTATTTTGTCGCATTTGCTTTGTTGGTTGCACTGTTATTCCGGTCATTAGAGAGAGAGAGAGAGAGATGTAATCTGAGGGATTCAATATAACGTAAATCCTTAACCTTCCCCGTGATGAAAGCTAGACTGTGTCTTTCTGAGTTCCAGAAATCTGCCGAGATATGACCGAGATACTGTCTGCGTCAGAGATTCGACCTCTTGCTACTGGTTCAGTAAAAGCGGT